GTTAGGTAAAACAGCATCAGTCAGCAGCAGCACTGTTCCCTGAGACAGGGGGACAAGAAACTGCTGCCAGTAATGTCGTTCTTGCACCAAATTGTTGTCAGCAGCCAGGTTCCAGCTGCTTCTCACTTCTCCACCCTGGAAAAACTGAACTGCTTCTCACAGACCGGGTTGCCCAAAGACAGGTGAATCAGAAATGGTGTCGCATTTCCAAAAAATTTAAGAAAGGGTGTACTGCTCGTAAGTTAGATTGAAGGTAGAGAGAAGAAAAGGATCTTTTTTCATTATCACACTTGGGGATACACAGATACAGAACACTGTACACCTTTCATGCTTTAAGGGCTGTGTCCTGTGCCTGAGCTACTGAACAAATTGTATACTTTGAGTGACCGTGCTTTTGCTGTAGGCATCAGAACCATCTGTCCCATCTTGATCACTGTGTTACAAAACCTCCTTCTGCCTTTCCTTCCCTTTCACTGAATTAATTTTTCAGTTCTGCTTTGCTTGGTGGAACAGCTTCAGCAGGACATGTGGAGACCATCCCATCCTAAAAGATCCAGTAGCCTGAGAATTAAAAGCTGTCCTGCTAAGGCATGCTGTAAGCACAAGGCTGTTTTTTCAGACAGGGCCAGGTACTGGTCTCTCTCAGAGCTACATCAGCTTGCACACCTCCCTAAGTACTGTTAGTAGGCGCCAGTCTGGAGCTGCTGAAGTTCACTGGTTCCCATTGTCAGACGAAGTCATTGGGAAATGAAGGTTGTCACAATGTTTGCAGCTGTGGTGAGAGCTGCTAAACCAGTTTCATACCTGTGGAACACAGATGGGATTCCCAGGTCGTGACTATTTGTGTCGGAACAGTACAAAGTGATATGAAGACAGTAAGGGACTTGCTGCTTTTGTTTCTAATGATGCATGTTAGTAACAGAAACCAGTGCTTATCTCATTTAATCAAGTTGCCTTTTCCCTCAGAAAAGGAACCAAACAGTTCTTGTGGGGGCCTATTCTATCTGCCTTGCAACAAAAGCAAGGAATAACACTGCTTATTTAATTACTGTTTGAATCTTTAAGAGTGTTTTCTATTAGAGAAAATACAAAGCAAATAGCAAAGTATTATTACAATGTGTAATCCTTTGTTTTGAAACAGGATATGTTAGTTATATTGATTTGGTGTTCCTAAACTAACAGTGTTGCAAATGAAATTCATAAAGCAAATAAATGGAAGTTTCATGTATGTAAGGATTTTCATGCTCTTATCAATAGTAAACAACCTAATGGCAATAAATTTTCTGTTAGCTTGTAGCTAACATCTTGAGTTACTTTAGTTTCATTTTTACATGCCAACTTTAGGGATATTTTGGATTGAACTCTAATCCTTCTCCAAATAAATCTGTTCACTTTCTTTTCTTGTTCTTAAACACAACAAAGGAGGAAGATTAACAAATAAATTATATATTTGTCTTTCCTCCTTTTTTCATGCAAAGGTGATTCTGATTAAAGACTTGGTTAATGAACTTAAAGCTGGACCTTGATAGGTCCATACTCAAGCCTTGATAAGTCTCATACTCATGGATAATTTCTGGCAACTGTAGGCATATGACTATTGTGCTGTAAGAGAAGTCATGGTTAGACTGGTGTCCATAACAAAAGTGCCTCTCAGATTATGCATGCCATCATCAGCTGCTGCATTTGCCAGCTCCATATTCATGGCTTGCATTTAGCTTGTTTTACTCCCTGTGCTGCTAGATGTGCTGTTAAAAGCATTTGGCATTTTTACAGTGCACTGTCTTTTTACTCACCTACAAAACTAAATATGTTAATGAACAATTTTTGTACCTACCTCAGGGCAGCACTTGTATTCTCAAAAATTCACAGGGTGGTTGAAGGGATATGGAGGATGCAAAAGGCATCTTGTATATAGCAAGACTGTCTCCACTGACTCCAAAAGACTTTGTGAGAAAGATCTTAAAGTTAGATTCCCTGTACAGATTCAATTTTTCAAATGGGCAGAAGAAACAGTGTGGTGGCGTTTGTTCTGTATTCAGATGGGTTCCTTTTGAGAATTTAATTTCCTCCAGAGCTTTTTTTTGGAGATAAGGGCTTTTGCACTGATTAAGACAGGACTAGTAACAGGTACTTTTGGAGGCAGAACTTTTTGTGGTAGGAAAATCATGTTGCCCACCTGTGGAAGAATGCTTCCTTCTCTAACCAGAAGTTCAGTCAATTATCTTTATTCACCCCATTCTACCTGAGAAAATTATTTACTGTTTGAACAATACAGAATAGTTTTATCTGACTACTGCTTCAGTTCTGCATGTTAAACTTGATATTGTATTAAGGATCTTCCCTAAGCCTACAGTAGGTGCTAAGAACATAATTTTGTAGAATCTGTAATTTGTAATCACTTTACAATGTTAAAGTAACAGCACTTGTACATAAGAGCTCTATAACACTTACCTTACATGACTATGTGAATATGTATTTTATCTGGACTTACTCTATAATGAGAAGTCCTAATTTTCCTGAAAAATTACTATAAAAATTAGAGTTATATCCATATTTTCATGATCTATCAAGTTCACACAGTTCTAGTTGTCAAAAAGAGCAATTTTACTTCTCTGTAGGCAGAATCCTTGTTGTCTCAAAAGAGATTTAGTGAAACTTTGTTTTATCTTTACTGAAAGAGTTTAAATTCAGTAGGCTGATATGGATAAAGGTGTGAATTTTTACTTACACTTTAACTTGATTGGTATGCATTATTTTCGTAAGAATTTTGGTTCTCTGTCTCTTTCTTCTGCATAAGAAAATTTCTACCCAGGATGTAAATTAACTAAAATGTATTAAATGTAAATTAACAGTTTCATGGAAAACTCCTAAAGAATTGTAGTGCAATTAGTTCAATTGCCATGAATTCATCCTGCCATATTTCAGAGTTGCTTTTAGCTTCATGCACTGTATGACATTCAGCAAAAATGAACTGGCTTTTTTCATCTTGTCAAGCTCTCATATTGTCTCTGACTTCAGGTCATTGGTCCCAGTATCCCAGCATTGGGGTAGCCAGGCAGCAATCTGCTTACCTGGCTGGCAGCTGTCATCTTTGTGCATCTCACACCTTGCTCAGGAATAGGGACTGGTTAATTCCTGTCTCATTTATGATTTCTGTCATTTCCTTCTCCTGTTCTTATGGCTGTCCTGCTGCAGAACAGTCTGCCTCTTCTGAGTTGTCTTCCTACATCACCTCCAGAGGATCTTCTTCCTCCTTCCCTAACTGGGTCAACCTCCACTTTCATAGCTCCCCCTTGACTGTTATGGTTAGGGTTGTATCTCTGATTCAGCTGCAGCTGATCCATTTGTTTTTCCTTAGATCCAGAGATCCTATTGCCCCTTCCAGGGTGTGGGACACAGGCCTGGTAGGTGTATGCCAGAGCCCAACACAGTACCAAAAGTCTCTGTCTTTGGTGTAAGCAAGTCATCCTTCCTGCAAGTGGTCTGCCTTCTCACCAGGATTCCTTGGCTGTTTGGGTGTGAACTCCCATGCCATCAGAGGTGAATATTGCTCTAGGCACCTGCCCATATTCTCCTGCATACCTTGCTCCCTAGGAATTTGTTCCCACAGGGCACTTTGCTGTGTGTCATCTCCAAGTGATTGGTTACTGGAGGTCCCAGAGATTTGTGCTTGGATGACTGGATCCAGAGTTTGAGGATGGTTGTGTAGACAACGGGTGCAAGTGGGGCACCACTGATGGAAGAAGGAAGGTGTCAGTGTCTGAGGGCATTAGCAGTGGTGGAGGTAATCTACAGCAACCTGGACAGCAGTGATGACTCCAAGGATCTGGGGGATGCCCATTGCACGTGGGCTGTGTGGCACAGTTTAGTGCCCACCAGTGTGACATGGCACTGGTGGACTGGCCAGATATCAAGGCATTACCTGTGGAGAAACTGTCCCACCTACTCCTGCAACTTGGAGAGAATCTCTCTCTTCTTCTGCTACCCTTGGGCTTGAAACCTGACTATGCTTAGTGTCCCACCAGTTTCAGTGACTTGAGAAGAGTTTTTCTTCCTCCTTGCCCAGATGGGGTCTCACTTATTAAATAAAGGTGCTGAAATAGGTAACAGTGCTAAGTATAGGTGATGCTTTGTTGCTACTTCGTTTTCAAGGCTCAGGATGGTGTTTTGTGTGGTGACAGGCTGCAGAGAACATTTGGAGCTGTCTGCCACTTTTCCTCCACCATAGGAGGCACATATCACTTGCCTTGGTGGCAGGTTCCCTGCAGCGGTGTGATTTAATTGATCTGCTGGGCCTCCTCATTTATAGCCAACCACGACCTTTAGTCCAGGGAGGCTTTAGTCACTTGGCTCACTTGGTGATGTCATGTTTGACATTCATGATCACATCAGATCCACCCCTTGATCAAGAGTCTATCTGTGTATTGCATCTCTCCCTGGGTGCCCCTAGGGACATGTTTTGTGGACCCATTGAGCTGGAAATAGCTCAACTTTTCATCCCTGCCCACATCCACCTGAGCTGCTTCTTTTCTGGCAACCTGATCTTTCACTGTTTAGATGTTCAGGTGTTCTTTGGTGGTGCAGCTCTTGGACACATAAGTATTTATATATGTGCATGCACATTGTGATGTTACGTGTTACATTTTTAGTTGATGCTGTTTTAGTCCTCTTCATCTTCACTCAAGCAAATGTGCTGAATAGATTTCTGAAGACACTGGAAATGGAAGAGAGGTGGCAAAGCTCATGGCCTAATCTGCATCTTCCATAAGTACAAAAAGTTGAACTGAGGAAAAAACTGAGCTCAAAAGAGTTCAACTGCCAGCTTTCAAAAAGTCTTGACACATATTTCTCAGTGGATGTAAAGTAGTTTTGCAAACCATTTTGAAGTGAGGTGGGTACCATATCTAAAATGGTTGTGTTTTAAAAAGTATATGTATGTATATGTGTGTGTACAAATGTATATAAAATCTTCTTCTAAAAAAAATCTTCTTCTTTTGCAGTTGAAACTACTGCTACCCTGCCTAGCAGAAAAATAACAGGTATGTTGGGGTTCTGTGGAATTTTGCCCCACTGTTTTTCTGTTTTAAGAAAGTGTATAGTAAGATTGCTGCTGATGATACTTCTTAATTTTTGGAGATAGTCAGGCATATGCAAACATTAGCAAATTAATTTTCCGTCTCATCCTTTTGTCTTATTACCTAATTTTGTGGTGCAAATAGCATCAGTAATTTTCCAGAGAAAATGAAAATAAAGTCACTGAGATGATTCTGATTTCCCTTCATTACAGAAACTGTATTCACATTTATCCTTTGGAAAGAAGCTATTGCTCGTTTTCAGTAAGGCAAGCAAAATAGTTTTACTGGAGCAAGGAATTCACGACTGTTTAGCATTTCAGAAAATCCTTGTTTAGTATTTTTAGTTTAAAAAATCTGGTTTTCTTCAGGGACTTTTGGTATCTCTGATTTAAGTCTTCTGCAGCAGTAGGAAAGGCTTTACAGTAAAATCAGTGTATTGTAACTAACATTATAGGATGACTTTTGGCCTTTGAGAGATGTTCAAACACCTTAAGTATATTTTTAAAATAATGCTTCATGTTTGCATCCAGCTGTTCTTTAGATTATATTTCTGTGATAACTGTGACCTGTAACTTGACTTGTCTCTGACAGTATCAAAAACCAACCAGTAACTGAAAGAGCCAACTTTAAAGTTGCTATGTGAACAAGATATCAAATTTCCTAATTTTTTTTGATCAAAATACTGACTGTAACAATATAAAAATCTGATAGCTAGTGTTTGCTATGTAAATAGTTGGCTGGTTCCTGTTAAAACCAGAGGTTCAAACTTGAAATTAATGAGGTTTTTTTTTTCTTGCAGGATAGAAAAGAAAGTACATATGAATGGGATAAATTTTAAGTAGCAAGTCTCACTGTTATTATAAAAAGTCTGAGAATAGTTCTTCATACCCAGCTAAAGCCACCTTACTGTGTAGGCTTGATTCCTATTCCCAGAATTAGCAAGACACTCAGGATAAGCATGTAGCTTTCGGGCTGGTGTGGCATGTGTCTTGGGTCTTTAACATTATACAGTTGTGGTTTTGCAACATTATACAAATCAAACTGTCCAGTATTTCCAGAAAAAAAAATTGTCTTGCATTGAATTCTATTTGAGTGCATAAAAATAGTGACTTTTTTTTTTTTTTAACCAGAGATTGTTGCATCTACCTTTTCTGACAACCTTGAAGTGTTGTTCTGGAAGAGGAGGTGTTGCCCTCTTCTGGTGAATGCAGTAAACTTTTGATAATATAAGAAAAGCCTGCTGAGGATGATAATGTATGTGTCTGAAACTGAAACTTCATAATGGTCTTTTTTTTTTTTTTTTAATCTGAAATAAAATTCACAGATTCTGAAGAATCAGCTGCAACAACAGTGTTTGGTAAGAAAATCAGGACTTTACTGATTTTTTCAATTTTTGTTATTTCCTCTCAGGTAAATCTGCTTTTATCTGAGGTAGTGCAGAAAGGTTGTCATGTCATAGAGCCAAATTCCCAAATTAAAATATTTTCATTTCAAATTACTTGTTTGATTCTACATTGTAATGAATGCAGAATGAAACAGTGAAGAGTTTGCAGAGATGGCAGAGGAGGAATACTGTAGTGAGAGCTCCTTTACATCTCCTCTCACCCTAGCAGATGGCATTTCATGCAGTCTATTACACGACACACACAACTAACAACTAACAGCTTCTGGAACCAGAGGTGATCAGCATCATCCATGAAAGCATTAAAAAAAATTAAGAATGAGACACACAGAAAAAACTTGTGTGAAAGCCAGCTGCTTTCTTGCTTAATGTATACTGAAACAGAGTGAGTGCTCTGGATAAAAGAAATAATGCAGATGCAAACACACATCATCTTGTTATTTTACAGATACAATCTCTCTTTGGGAATGGTTTGTCTTTAACAACTGCATCACATTCAATATTCGTGTAGTATGTACTAGGCCAAGTAATACAGGTGAAACCAGCACTTAGTTTTCCCTCTGCTCATATTTTGACTACATGTTAGTTGCCTCAGAAAATTTCTTCTGTTGTGGATCTGCTCTGGTCCATTTACAAAAAAAATCATTAAGTTGTCATATTGAAGTGATATAAAGTGGTCTTCTAACCACTTTATATTCCTGTGCTGATGCCTAAAATATTCTTACTAAGCACAGCCCTTTAAATTTTCATCTATTGTCTTAATTTAATTTCTTTTCCTTTTGATGTAGCTGAAAAACACTTTACATCATTACTTTATTTTATTTATCTATGATTATTGACAAAACCAGCTTTTTTGGAGAGACTGTTTGCCAAACCCAGTGAGTCATCTCTGCTTATGAATGTTGTGAGTTCATGCAGGAAAAGGTACTTGGGGTTCAGCAGTTATTTCAGTTGGATATGCAAAAATTCATCTGCACCTTCTGAAAGAATGAAACCAGTAAAAGGGACTTATTTGAGGAAAATTTGATTCCCAGCTGATTGTATTCAGATACCCAGATTTTTGAAATAACATGAACATTATTTCAATTATTAGTATTGAAATAATGTAAACACTCCTAACAAGCTTTGCAGTTGTTCTTAAGAATGAAATTCAGATAAATAATATTCAGTTTCTGTTCAAAATCTTGTAGGCTTGATCTTTTTTCTCAAAAATTCATAGAAGTAGAATACTTTCTTAATACAATTTTTGCTTCTTTTATCTTTTTTTCCCCTAGAATTCTCTATTGTTACTTTTATCATCTATACTATTATTTCTTCAGGCAAGATGTTATGAATGCTTCTCTTATTTAGACTTTGCTGGATTTAGACTTTTGGGCTTTTCTTGTTTTATTTTTATAGATTTTACTATTATGGATTTTTCTATTTCAGATATGTCTTCAGAGGAGACTACACAAAGTACAGGTGAGAATTTGCATGAAGAGAATAAGGTTTCAAGGCAGACATTAGTTGCATTAATGTTTGTTGCTTTTTTGTTGTTATTTTTTAGTAACTGGGATTTGTTTATTCCAAATTATTTTCTTTCATGTTTTTAAAGTTTGTATTTCTCTGCAATCAGTACTTTAAGTCTGCATGATTAGGGCTTTGAGGTGCACTTAACTGAGCTGTAAACCTTTCATTTTCATTCAAAGTATTGTATTGCTTACCAAAACCCAAAGAGGGCAAATATATTTTTTAGCAAGTATATAGGGGGTTTTGTATATAGAATATTTTCTATGCTTTCTGGTACTGTTTAAGCTATTTTACAGAACTAAAATGTACACCCCATTACTTGAAGACACTTACATATGTAGTTGCAAGGAGTTGTCAAATAGGATCAGAAAAGACTCAATCAGAAAAACTTGTTACCCCTTCCTTTCCCGATTTCCCCATTTGAAACAGGGAATAGTTTCATTCCATATCTGTGTGCATTCCTCCATGCCTCTATAGGACCTGGACATCCTGCTGTTCTTCATTGTAGATTGAAAACACATTTTTAGAACTGGACTCCTTCTATGCTGAAGAGCCCATGCAGAATAGGATAAATAGGAATCACCTTAAAAGCACCACTTTCTACTCTGAACAGCTGGGTGCCAGGAATCACTGGCTCAGATAAGGATACAAACACTTAATTGGATGGGTCTTACTCCCCTTGCTGCTTTTGCATTTCCCACACTGAAAGTTACTTCATTTTCTTAAAAAATGTCAGGTGTTTACATTTTTCCTGAAAAGACAGAGTCTGAAATGGAAATAAGAATTTGCATGGGGTTTTAAACAAGAACATGTATTGCATGGGGTTTCTAAAGTTAAAATATGAAAACTTTTTACATTCTTTTTTGTTGGTTTGTTTTTTTCTTCATAACAGAAGCCCTTACAACAACAGATTATTACTCTACCATCACACCAGGTAGGATTTATCTATCACCACTGATAACATTTTTGTGCATCTCAAATTTTAAGTGTGTGTGAATTCAGGAAGTTTGCTCCCAAATGTTTTTTTTGTATGCTTTTTACTTGGTACTGTGGTGTGTCCTTTTAACAGCCTGCCTTACCTCACATTAATGTCCAGTCTGGTAGAAGAACTAATTCTGCAATGCTTGTCTAGGTGGCTGCATATAGAAGAGTTTGGTTATTTTGTAAGTCAAAGCAGTAGGTTACCACAAAACTGTAAGAACCACAATCTCAGGGATGATGTTTGCTTAAAAAGAAATCTTCATGCCTTTTAGCAGATTGAAGCAAACTGAACACAGTCATTGTATTTGACCTCAGGGCAGGCCCAGTAGGACCAGGAATTTTACTTTTTAATTATCCACGTAGAAGCTCAGTAGCCCCATTACAATGGGTTTGCCCTGAGTTAGTGCAAGTGGAAGAAGACCTGGCTTGGAGCCTTAATGGCAAGGGTAGTTTTACTGTATGAACATGACCTGCAGAAACATTGCAGCTGTGTTACCTGATGCTTTCAGGGGACTGGAAGCCCTAGTGATCTTTGATCAGTCTTTTATCCTTCACACTGCTAATGTATTTTTGTGCATTTTGGTGGCATGCAGAGGTCTTTAGACTAGGGGGCACACAAATGGGTGCCCTGTATGGAAAAAGGAGCTGATGTTAATTTCCTGTGGCATTTTCGGATTTTGTTTGGATTTTTATAAGGTTCTCTATGTAGTAAATAATTTTGACAATTTATTGTTATATTGACATTTGATTATTGTTTATCAGTTATTTATGAGCATTTTATTTTTTTTAAGGATTGTTTAAAAAAAGCAGTATACAAGGTTTGTAACTATTTCACTGCCAACAAAAGGGAAGGCAAATTTAGTGTCATAGAATTGTTAAGGTTGGAAAATAATTCTAAAATAATCAAGTCCAAGCATCAAATTTGATTCTAAACTGCTGTCTGATTTTTTTCTTTCTAATAATTTGAATATTCCCACCAGTTTACAGTCTGTAACCTCTGGTGGCTTATTTATTGATGGTGAAAAAATTAATAAAGCAGCCAACTTTTACAGTCAAACGTTTGCACCACGGGGAAGGTAAAAAAAATTCCCTTCCACTTGGTACTAGCTAATGATAACAGCAGAAAAAATAGAATTTGGTTTTTTTCTGTTAATGGAGTCCAATCCATCTGCTTAAGTAAGGCAGGTTGTTTTCATGAACAAGTGTAGGAGTTTTGTCTTGGATGCAAATATCTTTCCAGTGCTTTATTTTGAAATTATACAACAGAACCGTCTGTTTACAATACCCTAATTTAGGATCAGTGTTATTTCTCAGCAGTGTAGGTCATATTAAAAATATGAAAAATATGGAGCAGCCAAAAGCTTGCTGTAACTAAATGAGGCATGTTTTACTAGATAAGAGTGTACATGGTTGCTGTCATCATAGCTTGAATTCCATCAGGTAGAACAGTTTTAGCTTCATGCTATCATATGGAGCCATTGTAGGATCCTCAGAAGCAGATAGTATGCTGCCTAGTGATTGAATTCTGTGATAATTAAAGAGCTTATTAATTATATGCTGGTTTCTGTTTATATTTAAATTTTAAAAAAGTAAAATTAAAATTGCGACCCCTTGCATGTAAGTCTTCTGACATAACTGTTATAAAAAATTATTCAACATTAATTAATCAAAGGCAGCATATTTCTGAATATTAAGTCTTGGAAAATGTCATGGTAAGTGCTGTAGGGAGGTGAAAGCTGGTTTCTGTTTGTATTTAAATTAAAAAAAAAAAAATTAAAATTGCGACCCCTTGCATGTAAGTCTTCTGACATAACTGTTATAAAAAATTATTCAACATTAATTAATCAAAGGCAGCATATTTCTGAATATTAAGTCTTGGAAAATAACATGGTAAGACCTGTAAGGAGGTGAAGCCTAGACAATATGTCAAATACTTCCAGAAGATATATCTCAAACACTGGAATGATTGTAAATATGTGTGATTATATTGGATTTAGGATTAACTTTTTTAATCAGTAGTTGTTTGGTTTTTTTCCCCAACAAATCTATAGCAGGAGAAACCATTGTATGCAACATAACACGTGCCTGTAATTATTCAGGTTAGTGGTTTTCTTTTCCCTTTTTTTACATAAAATATTATCCAACTATTTTATATTCTGAGTAATGAAGAAATGTTTAGTTGCCATGTAAAAGCTAGTTCTGAAATAAATTTCCTTTTAGAGAGATTTTGATTTTATATTAATTCAAAAAATATTAAAGGTGGGGAGGTTAAGAAGTGTTTAGACTCTTGTATTTTTGATATTTGGTTTCTCATCAAAGGAACACAATTGCAGATAAAAATTGTGAAAAAAAACCCCTAAGAAACAAGTAAGCTAAGGAGTTCTATTTATAGTAATGTGAAGTGCAATTTTTCTGGTTTGGGAAAAGATTAGCTGGAAGGAATTTAGGGACGGCCATCAAAATTAAATATATAGAAGATAATTAAGCTATTAGACCAGTTCATTTGTTGAAAGAGGCGAAAGATGGAAGAACAATTGCAAAAATAGATAAGCTAGTGCAATTGTTCTTATTTCCCTTGTATCAAAACACAAGACAGTAAGTTTTGCAATTCTCAAGAAATGTTACATTCTGTGTTCCTAACTTCTTTACTTTTGGTTTTAGTGTTCTACGTGGGCAAGGTAAAACTTCGGGCGAGGGAAGAAAGTAATGCATCACTAAATGTAGAAATAGTAAGTATTCTTTCTTTTAAAACTCTGTTTTAAGGAAGGTTGAAGTGGATTTGTTTGTCTACACTTAAAAGAAGTAACATGATTCTTACTGTGTTTGCAGTACATGATACTATTTGCAGTGAATGGAGCAGCTCTGTTTTAAACAGCTGCTTTGCTTCCTGCAGTAAAGACGTGCATTCTCTACATAGCCACTGAAAGGAGGGGAAGCCCTGGGTAATCTCAAGAATTTACATTTAGGCACGCAGGATCTTCCTTTGGAGATTAATTTAGGCACTTGCCTTTGGAAGATGGGCATCACTAGATGGCAACTATTTGGGCATAATTAAAGTTGGATTATATGCTGGAATAATTCTTGTTGAGATTCTCATAAGTAGTTCTATGGCTTTTTGTGCATTTTTTCGATTATGCTTTTGCATGATCATTCTGTTTTTTGGCTTGTGGTTACTGAGTTATTAATTTTGCAATAGGCTTATGTGACATGAGCGTGTCCATTTATACAACACAAGAGAGGTTTAAGAGGAGAGTGTCATGCATGGCAAGGACCATATAGATGACCCAGTATCAAGGTAATACTATGAGGATGAGAATGTTCAGTTGTTACAGATGGAAGCTGAAGGGAGGAAAAAAGAACCTTGTGTCTTTATCCTACACATCCCTGTCAGCCCTCAGCGTGACATTTCACATGCCAGTCCCTGAAAGCATGAGAGTAGTCAGCATTGTAACCACAGAGAAGAGCCCTGAACATGGAGCATCAGGTTTGGGCAGGGATATGCCCCTGGCAAAAGCCACCTCTAAATTCTGTTGTGTTTCAGTGGTGATAATGCCTGCTAAAACTGTCCTAGCATGGTAACATTACACCTACAGCTTCTGGTAAAAGTGGTTTCCATCTCTTGAAACTCTTGCTTTTTAGAAGAATATTTCTTAGGGGAAGTCAATGCCACATATATTAGATGATGTTTTTCCTCATGGGCCTTGCTGTTTGCACAAAATGTAAAAATAACCAGTAATACTGGTAACCAGAAGAGCATAAGAATAGATATATAGAAAGGGCTCTTAGATAAATCTCAGTGTATCCCCAGACCCTAATACTGGATCATACTTATTTAACTCAGTTCTATCATGTCTTTCACTACAGTTCTTGACTTCTCACTTCCAGTATTCTGTCATCTATTATTTATGTCATTTATGGAGCTCGTCCCATTGCTCCCACTTAGAGTTAAAAAACCTACTTAGAGTTAAGTTTATGGAGTTCCTTCCATAAATTGTGACAACAATGTCATGGTAAATACTTGTTGCTGTGTATTCATGAGAAAACATGCTTCTTATCTTAGTAATTTCAGCTTATTAAAATGTGTGAAATGAACAATTTTCTTTTAAGGCTAAAAATTACTGGTTGTACTTAGTTGTGGGATCTTTTTTCCTTACAGATTAATAACATAACCACCCACAATCAAGTCAAAAAATTAATTGAAATTCCAGCACATACCCCACAAGAACTGAGGTAAGTAATTCTGAATAAGAATTTAAATCTTTTTTGTATTTGAAAAAGATGAAGTGAGACCTTCCATGTGTTGAGTGGACTTTGTGTTATTCCTGCACATTAAAAATTTCACAAGTTCTAAGTTCTTGCTCTTCAACATAAACTTCATACTGGTTAGAATACTCTTAATTAGTTTATGTACCACTGGAGTTTCTTTTAAAAAATGGTACAACAAATATTTGTTATAATTTAAGCATTCAGTTTATCTGGTAGGAAATCATGAAGAGAACCTTCCTAGCTGCATGTTCTTTAATAAATATTCTTGAAGTCATATCTATGGTTTATTTTGGCTTCATTTTTTCTTTCCTAGTCTTTTTAAGGGGAGGTTTGCATGAGTGAATATTTCCCAAACCTTCCCTGAAAATTAAAAATATGTGGTTGGCCTTGTAAGTCTTGTTTGTAGAAGAAATCCAAATTTCTTACTCATTCTATTTCTGTGGCTTTGAGTATAAATTTAGAGTTCTATTCCAAGTAATGCTTGACAAAAGGCAACATTAAGATTTATCTACTGCTCTTTTAAATAACATTTACAATGTGTTGATGTTCTAATGTGATGATAGAGGTTTAAATTTAGTTTGTGGAGAGACTAATAAAAGTCAGCTCTTCAAATGTTTAATGCTGGTGGTTTTGCAGTATTACAACTGGTCTAACTTTAACAAATCATTGATTAACTGGAAAAATATTTTTTCTCTGTAATTGTTTTTTTAAATTAAATTGTTGTCATTGTTTTTAGAAACATAACTAAAACTCCTCCATAACAGTAATACTTTATTTTAAAGCATTTCAGAGTTCAACAAAACCTTGCAAGCAGTAAGTGAGGTAAGATTACTGATTGTTGTTACTCTCTGGAAAACTTTTTTCCAACTTACTTCTGATAAAGCATCACTCCTGATTTCTCTTTATAAACCTTTTTTTTTTTTTTCTGTTTTCATTTGTCATTACAGTCCTCTGTTATGGAATGCAGTGCAGAAAACCAGAGGTTTGTTTGTAAATTTTTAAAGAAAAAAATATTTAAAAGCTCATATATTGTCTTGTGATATGTGAAGCATGCATGGCTCTTTAGCAGAAGAAAAAGACAAACTCTCTAGGAAGTTCAGAAGTTCAAGAAACAGGCTAGAGAAATATGTATAGGTTAACAAAGAAATTCTCATTTCTGAATATTGTCCTGGCATTAGTGATTTTGAAAAAACCTTTTAGAGTTTATTGGTTTTGTTTAACCCAGATGTATTGCTTCTCATTACTCTTCTGCTGAAGCCCAGGCTTCCCTGCCAGATTTCTTCTGCATCTTGGTATTACCTGAGTCATGTAACTAGGAGCATCAGAATTCCAGAACTTGTGAATGCAATGCAATCTTTATGAGGGATTTGCTTGAGACATCCCAAGCTGTTCTTCAGCTTGGGAAACCAACTGTCCTTGGGGTAGGGGGAGCCTGAGGAAGTAAACAGTTCAGAGTCTGGAAACCATGGATGATCAGAATGGCAAAGCTGCTCCAGAGAGGTGATCCTGGAAACCCTAAAAAGTAGATGATATCTCAGTTTAATTGCTACTCACGATTTAATTGTCCTTTAAAATGACCAGCTTGGAAACTCTGTATTCTAAAATAAAATGAAACTTCATTTCCCCAAATACTTGAATCTGGACTTTATCTTCCTGGATTAGGATGAAAGAAAAGTCCAAAACACTCAAATAAAATAGAAAGTGGTCAGATCACCCCTTCATGTCATATACTGGCAGTTGCCAGAGTAATCTTTTAATTCTTATGAGCTGGAAAGAAACCTTTTCATTCATCTCTATGTTTGCATTTGCTGAATATGAAAAATTTCCTGGAGGTTCCCTAATTTAGGCAGGGCTCCAAGTCCTCAAACTACAGTCGTAAAGATGGAGTTACATGATGGAATGGGTCACTGAAGTTTTCTGTAAAGTCGAGAGAGAATGCTGGCTTCCTCTGGTGGTGGAGGTTTCATAAACACTGGCATATTTACACTAACAGCAGAGATTACTTTATTATCCTTACAAAATTATCAATTCTTTAATGGCCAGCATTGATCAGGGAGGACCTCATTTAAGAATTGACATAGTAGAGAGAAGGGACAATAAGTGCCACAAACTGATGTATTATGCTTTTAATCAGCCTGGCATAGTGGTTTATGTGCACTAAAAATATGCCCAAATCTGACGGAGCCTAGAAATAATGTGCTTTTACACTTAGCATTTGTACTAATGTGCTTTAATTTAGCATTTGATGTTATTTCCATGTGTTAGAAATATGAGGCAGCGCTGTTTCTTGAGTCTTAAGCTTTTTTCTTCTCTTTTAGTACACACTGCAATTTCATAATGAAGCTGGCTGAGAGAGAGAATATAAGTAGTTTAACACAGAAAGCAAAAATAAGTCAACTTGGTAAGTTATGCTTTGAACACAGTCTCATCACAATTTTATGTAAAGATTTGTGGTCTTCAAGTAGCTAAAAAGACAAGATAGTTACTGTTAAATCCAAATATTTTTTGTTTTGGGCGATATAAGTACATAAAAATGCAGCCTTCTGATTTTTGGGGGTGTATGCGAAATAAATTTTTGAAACATTTCAGTATAAAATTGCCAGCTACTTTAAAAGAGCATACTTTGAATGGATTAGGTATAAAATAAGATGAGAACATAAATGTCTTGCTGAAATGACAATCTCAATTGAAAAGAGTGTTAAGTAGCCAACCTTTCTTAGTGATATTGTGACAGGATGGAGTACTGGCTCATACCATTTGTCTCTGTTTCAAAAGCTGTTATGTTGCATTTTGGTTTGTTTAAAATTAAAAAAAAAAAAGAAAAAGAGAAATCTGAGCTTGTCAGGCATTGAACAAAAATCTGGCGTACGGCAATATTCTGACTGATCAAGAGGTTCATTTGTTTGGCAAAACTAATTAGAGAAGAAGCTTCAAAATAAATTATGCAGTATATAGTGTTGTTTAAAGACATAATGCACATGGTTAAATATTCTACATAGTGGTATTAGCAGTTGTTATGCTTAAGGATAATGCTTCTTTATCATCTCAGATCAGTGCTGCTGTTCATCACTGAAGTACTGTTCCTTGACTGCTGAAGAATTACGAATGTAGTAAGTATAAATACCAAATTTGACTTGCTTATTTCCTAAATTTCCTAATACATGGCTAGAGTCAACTTCCATGCTTCAGTGTAATAGCCAGAAAGGCCTCCACAAGAAAAAGCATTTTCCAATGTAGCTCCCTCCTCTTTCTTCCCTCTTTCCCTTCCCTCCCTTCTTATCCCTTTTTCTCATTTTTTTCTGTGATGAATCTAGTTTTGTGTTCAACAGCAGCTCACCCTCAGAGCAGGCAGCAAAGGCAGTAGTAGTATTTGTTTATGGACTTGCTAGTTAACAACTACAGCAAAAGAGAATGTAAGAACATTCTAAATATTAGAGCATGAAACATCCAATCTGATTGATTTTAAAACATACATTATTATTAGTATGTCCATATAATTTATATATATATACTCCTCTATTGTAACTTGTTTTCTTTAAAATAGAAAAAATGTTAAACATAACCTGGATTTTTGTACCTTTTTTTCTTTTACAGTACTATACAAGTGCCACCTCATTTTATATGGGTTCCTTCCCCTCGTTCTCCTTCTCTCCCTAAAAAGACTTCCCTCAAATCTAATTCTTTTATTCCCCCCACTGTACTTTCTGCTAAACAAAGCCCCACAATTAGACCATTGATCCCACCATTCACAGAAATTTATGTTTCTGGAGCTCTTTCCACATCTCCCCTTACAAGCCCTTTCTCTGAAAACTCTATGCCTTCCACCAGTGTTACGACTACACGCTCCTCTTCTGAGTCTCTTGCTCAACCTACCATGCCAACTTTTGCTTCCGTAACTTCCAATAAATCCATCACTGTTCCCATACCTGCAACAAAATCTGTCACGAATGCTGCTTTCTCAATCAAATCTGATGCTGTGCACCTTAACAAGACTGTTACAATACTTTCTCCTTCTGTAGAATACACTAAACATTCTTCACTTTCTTCTTCTGAACCTCACAAACTTCCAATTGTAAATAGCCCCTTTGAGGCTATCACCAAATCTGTTGCACAAATTCCCCCTGCTTCAAGCCAACCTATATCTGGTCCCAAAAATGTCAGTACAGTACCTATTGTTCCCCTTACTCCTTTCACAATATCTTTGACCCCTACTGCTAGTCCTGTCAACCATTCTGTCTCAGTTTCTCGTCCTCATTCTACTGCTGATGGCCATGAGACCCCAGGTAAATATGAAAAGTACATAATTATTTTTGTTTGAATGCCATATACTGGATTTGCTTTTAAACTTCATTAAACAGTGTTATATATATGAAACATGACCTTATAATTATTGTGAATTACTTTGGATGGGAGTGTTGATCTGGTGGAAGGTAAGAAGGCTCTACAGAGAGGTCTGGACAGGCTGGATTGATGGGCTGAGCCCAACTGTATGAAAGGCTCAACAATGTCAAATGTTGGGTCCTGAACTTGTGTCACAGCAACCCTGGGGAATAGTCCAGGCTTGGGGAGTAGTGTCTGAAAGCTGCCCAAAGGAAAAAGACCTGGGGGTGCTGGCTGACAGTGGCTGAACACGAGCCAGAGTGTGCCCAGGTGGCTGAGAAGGCCAATGGCATCCTGGTCTGTATCAGCAATAGTGTGGCCAGCAGGACCAGGGCAGGGTTTGTCCTCTGTACTCAGCGCTGGTGAGGCCACACCTCACACCTCTTGTCCATTTCTAGACCCCTCACTACAAGAAGGACGTTGAGGTGCTGGAGTGAGTCCAGAGAAGGGCAACAGAGCTGGGAAAGGGTCTGGAGGAGTCTCAGGATTGACCTTATCACTCTGTGCAACTCCCTGAAAGGAGATTGTAGCTAGGTGGGGGTCAGCATCTTCTCCCAGGCAACCAGTGACAGGATACAAGTAAATGGCCACAAGCTGTGCCAGGGGGGTTGTTGGACATCAGGAAGAATTTCTTCTCTGGAAGGGCTGTTAAGAATTGCAATGGGCTGCCCAGGGATGTGGTGGAGTCACCATCTCTGGAGATGTTCAGGAAACAACAGGACATGGAACTCAGTGCTGTGGTCTAGTTTGCAAGGTGATGTTTAGTCAAAGGCTGGACTTCATCTTAGAGGTATTTTCCAACCTAAATGGTTCTGTGATTCTATTTTGTGTGAAAACTCTGAGACAACTTTCACTTTATGTGCATGTATTTTAAAATACACTCTAATGCCTTTGGGCGTGGTGGGTGATACCTCACCCTACACCATTGTTTGTAACTGTCATAGGTAGGGACAGTGCTCAATTCCCATGAGAACAAGTGGCTTTTGGACTGAAAAAATTAAGTCAGAGAACAAGGTAGATTTTTTTTTTTAAACTAACCTAATATTTAAAATACTGCACAGTAATGCCGGATCATCCTTAAAATACTGTCATTGACTGGAAACATTCTTAGTGGCTGTGTATTTTCTTATGAAAATTCTACACAAGCTTCTTTTCAAATTTATGACACTATCTTAATTTTACTCTACATTCAGGCGTTCAGTGGCTAAAAATTCAAAATAATAGGTTATTTAATATATTAAATATATTAATTAAATTTAATATATTAAATATATATTAATGTCTGATGTGAGGTACTTTGAAATCAATAAACCATGAAATTGATGTTGGCAGTTTGAAACCTTGCTTTATGTTTTCATGAGATTTAAATTACCACTGTCTGCAAAGTAGCTGATAGGGAGAAATTACATGACTTGTTGAGAACCCTTACGAGTAGCGATACAATTTTTTAATCAAGAGAACTGTTTAATTTTTCTGCTTCTCCTAGCTTGCATCATTTTATGAACACATCGTTTAACTTTTCATTTGTCACAGGAAAAACCCTTTCAGCTACCACAAATATAACTTCTGTACACACCACAATTAGTATCGCCACAGCTGAGCAAATCGTGTCCAAAATAGAAAATGATTTAGCAGCTGGAAAAATAGAGCCAAAAGATGTAGAAAGGATGGTTAGTGAGGTGAGCACTATCCTCACTGCTTCTGAGCCATTACCACCACGAATTTCTAACAGGTAGGTCATTTTGGCAATAAATTACAGGAGTGTTGTATTTATTGTCTTGACAAATTGCCTTCAGCAAGTTTCACTTTTTCATAATCATAATTCAGAAGAATATTTCTTGTTCTTTTACGTAGTTATTCAAAATGGAAGGACTATCATTCTAATGTTACCAGCTCTACTATAATATAATGCCACAGAAAATAGTGGGGATATTTCTATTGACACCATAATAAGTGATCATTTTGCATTACACTCAGATTATTGCTCCATAACAGTAACTTGCTTGAGAATTTTGGATGTATGTGCTTGGTAATACTAAGTATACTTTTTCTTAACAGAATTATAAAGCTGGTGGACTATATTGGCTTAAAACTAAACTTATCAACATCATCTGCTGAATTTGTCTCCCCTTCCTTGGCTCTGGCAGTTGTCAAAACCAACAGAATCCGCTCCAACGAAATGTCCTTTGCTGTCCAGGACTCAACTGATCTCCAGGTTACAAAATACTTACAATACCTACAAATTGTCAAACATTTATTTTAAAGTGTTTATAGTTTTATATTTATAGGAATATGTGTTTGTTTATTGTCAGTGTCGGGATCTTTAGTTCATGTTAGTTTCAGACTGTTTTTTAAGCCCTTCACAGTTTTTCCTTTAATTTTCAACTGTGTAAATAGGTGTAAAAGAGAGCTGACTTAGCAGAAACTGGCAGAACTAATAAGCTGTTGGACAGGGTACAGCTAGAACACCAGAATGGACAAAGTGCTTGGCAGAATAACTTTGCCTCAAGCCCCCTGAATCATTTATTCAACGACCATGAGAGTGCTGACATTTGTCAAGGAGTGTTGCCAGACAGCTTCATCTGTTAGAAGGAAATAATTGTAGAGGGTTCCAGAAAAGAACTATTATGTATGTTGCTTGGATAATGATGCTCAGAACATTTGTCACGAATGGCATCTCACCAAGAAAGAAGTGCTTAGAAAGTTTGGTTGGATCCCCTTTATCTCATTCAAAACCTCCCTCCTGACAGAGAAAATAATGGACAATACCAGCCTTGGAGGCTTAAGCAAGGAGAGATGGAAAGTTTTGGACCAGTTTTGACACATTCTGCCTCCTCAGAGAAGAAAATAGCTTAATGTATCGTAAGCCATATGTAGTACTGGAACTTTTCTGTGTTACTGAAAATTATATAAATGTTTAACATTTGAGTTCCTTTCTATTTCTTAGCAATATATAGTGCATGAATGTGAGATGACTAGGAGATGCTAGTGCTGACATACAGATACTTACTAAGGAATGATTTTTTATTTCATGTCATTGGCAATGAAACACTGAAAATTTTCAATAAATATCATCTAATTCAAACTAGAGCAACAGGAGAGCTTTTGTGGAATTGATTCAGGATTTCTTTGGTGGCTGTCTAAACCAATGATCTCCAAACTGGGGTTTGAGTACACCAGGGTGTGCACACAACAGTCCAGTGCAGTGTAGGAAAATGTTATTTATATTTATAATAAATAAAAAATACATTTTAAAAAGTAATTTTAATCTCCTTAATTTAAAAAAATTATAACTTGCATAATATATTAGTGAACTAATTGATACATGTAACTTATGGGTAGGTGTATACTGGGGTTCATGCTCAAAAACTTTTAGGGGAGGCATGATCAAAAACATTTGGAGTGCGCTGGTCTAAACAGATGAGTTAAATCACGTTGTTAGGGCACTCTGGGGTGTTCACATTGTTACTCTTATTACAGCCATTCTTTCAATACTCAGATAATTTCTTTCTGAAGTACTACTAATGTTTCACATCTCCCAGGAACTCTGAGGTGATGATATTTGTATGTAAAGGACTAATGTACGACAGGAATGTTGAGAGATTCTGTACTAAACAAAGCTCCCTGGACTGTAAGCACAGCAAATAAAATGTGCAGCACATAAAATGGGTGAAAGTTCAGATCTCTTTTTGTACAGTATAAGATCACTAAACTCTTGAGGTACCTGAATTGTAGCTTATCCAGTTTACTTTTGTAATTTTTGCCAGATGATCAAAAAGTTAGTGTTTATGTTCTTATCTAAGAACATAAACTTAACCTCCTGAACAAAAAAAGGAATTGACAAATAATGGCTATTTTAGCTTTTTCTGAATTCTGACATACTCCCTACAGAGTATAAAAATTCTTTGCAGGCTTTCATGCTGTTGATCTCCCTACACAGTTACAGCTACACAGAATTACCTGTGTTTTTGCTCCTCACCTTTTCCAAATCAATACAAAACACACAGTGGTGTGTTATGTCCCTGTAGGGAAATGGCTAAAGCCAGATTATTTTCCATTATTTTCCACTGGTCAGATTATAGCCAGTGGTAGGCAGACCTGAAATGGGATGCATCCTTTTCAGTCCTGTAAGTGCTATTTATGCATTGGAGTGGGAGAGGAATGAGAGCAGCCGTGGGTTTGTGACAGTAATTAATGAGGTATTTATTTTGAAATTTTAAACTGAAAATAAGTAATAATTTATTTATTTGGAGACTGAAACAAAGCATAATCCTCGTATTTATTTTTCAGATCTCTCTAGGAGTTCAGCCAATTCAGAATTTAAATAATCTTGGATCAATTACACTTCCTTCATTGTTGCTGAAAAATTTACGCACTGAAGAGTTGGACTTGGCTTCTAGAATTATATTCAACTTCTTTAAAAAGACCACTGTATTCCAGGTATTTTTTGGCCCACTGTTCTTAAGGATTAAATTCAAGTTTAGAGAAAAATATGAATAGATTTTTTTCCCCACAAAACACATTTTAAAACTTCTGACTTAAAAATAATTACTTTTGTCCAGTGCTTTCTCCACATAGTAAATGAGCTTGTGGGTGCTGTACTCTAGTATTGTTTCCTTTAAGATTTTAAAATCTGGAGCTTTTTTTGTCATTCCAGGATCTGTCCTTGAAGAATGCATCTTTAATCAGCAGTGTTATATCATCAAGTGTTGCTAACCTCACAATTAGTAACTTAACAGCAAATGTTACTGTCATTTTGCAGAATATCAAGCCTAATCAGGTAAAATTTACATTTTGGCAGACTTAAAGTACAGTTTTGTCGTTTCCACTGAAGTTGTTGTAGTGGAAACATTTTACTAAGAATACAGGTCAGCTTGTTCTGCTTTACTAGTGTGGACATTTCATCTCCACCCAGACATTAAAAATCACTCCTGTTTGCTTATTTGCCGCTGGTATAAATTTTGGTTCTCAAGTAGTGTAAAGTAATTTTGCTCTATTCCAAATTCATCCAGCTTTTATCTTTCTTACTTACTCTTCTGTTTTATTCTACAAAGAATAAAAGCTCTTAGAGGGAATACTGACACTATGGGTTGCTATGGCAGATGCTGCAGTCATGACATTTGTGGGTGTTGCATGGCCAGAAAAGAAATAAGTCTTTTTTCTTAGGGGAACTGAAACACAGGATTGTGTCATCTGGAAGTATTAGGAGTCTTGCACACCATCTCTTTCTGAAAGGAGCATCAAGGATTAAAGTCTTCTATCTCATATCTTAAGAAAGTTTTAAATATTCAATTATTATAAACTGAAAAATGTGAGGATTCCACTAATGCATCTGGAGCTTTTTTCAGGAGTTGGCTTAGTGGTGTCTTTACTTGTTTTGACATAATAAGTTTTGAGATATAACTGTAGAAGTATTAGTTTTTATAGCAATATAGTGTATTGCTGCTGGTATGTACAGAATTTGCATGTGTGTGAGGAAATCTGTGTGTGTTTAACATCGTGATGGTAGGAAGTGACCAGATATTTGCAAATGAAAAGGTTTTTCCTTTTCTGTGTGGTCGTGACTTCAAAAGTTACAAAGTCCAGAAGGAGGAAAAATCCCAAGAATTTGTATGGTATGGGAAGACATTGAAAGAGCATTCAAAAGGTTCTACTAGGAACAGAATCTTGCATAAGCAAAAGTGCTAGCTCCTGTCTGGTGACTTCAAATCTGTTCAGCATGTTTTTACGTGTAATTTGCAATATTAATCCTTAAATGCACCTAAATTGATCTTGTGTTCACATAGAATAGGCATATTTGCTGTATACAGTGTTTGTTCTTCCCTGAATTTTGTAGATCATTCATAAATCATTTGATCCTAAACTCACAGTTTAGTAACGTGGTGGGTTTTTTTTGTTTTTACTCCTAAACAGGATAATTCGACAGTTAGATGTGTTTTTTGGGACTTTAATAAAAATGGTAAGTACTTGAGATCACCCAAGATGCTATGCTGTTTTAGCTATGTTAATTCATGTTAATATAAATGAAGCCTTTTATGAATAACAAAGCTGCTTTTTTTAACAGGTGGACATGGAGGCTGGTCATATGAAGGCTGCACAGTCAAAGAAAGTAGAGTAAATGAAACTGTCTGTTCATGCAACCATCTCACAAGTTTTGCAGTTTTGATGGTAATTATTTTCAAAATTATGCAATCTTGCCCTTGTTCAAGAACGTATTTAACCTTGAGTTGTCTTAAGCAAGTCAAGACCCAATAAGCCCATACAACCTAATAAATAATACTCAGGTTCTATTCACTTTAGTGTTAGTACAGATAGCCATACAGTTAGGCACACGTTTAAACTCCTTGTTGAATGGGAGTCCATGGGTTCCACTGGAGGAAAAAAGATTCTTTAAGTGCTGCAGCTTTTGCATTGAGGCAGCTGTTTATACTCTAAATAAAATTTAGGAAATAAAATTTAAAACAGGTTTTTAATCAAATGGGGTTTCACAATTAGGGTCAGAGAATTATAAAATAATATCTCAAGCTGGACGGGAAGGGACCCAAAGGATCATGGAGTCCCTGCTCTTTACAAGACTAGATTGGCTTTTTTTTTCATCTAACCTTTTTTAAGAGCCATGATGAAAGGAATTGAGTCTTTTTTTTTTTTTTTTTTAAGAGGCACTAAAAAAAGAAATTAGTTTTTTTTTTTTTTTTTTTTTTTTTTTTTTTGTAAATGTAGAGAGAAAGGTGTGTTTTGATTTTTTGAATTTTTCTTTCTATTTTCCCATTAATAAACCTGTTCTCTGAAAATAACTTCTGTTTCTTTTTTAGGACTTGTATGGAAATACTCCCTTGAATCCCACACAAGAATTGGTACTGACTTTTATATCGTATATAGGCTGTGGTCTCTCTGCAATTTTTCTTTCTGTTACTCTTGTGACCTACATAGCCTTTGAGTAAGTACCCATTCAGCTGAGCTCCCATTATTCTTGAGTTGTGATTGATTGTAGTCTTCACTGAGAAATCCTTTTCAATAGTTATGGATTCTGTCCCCACAAATAATGCACAGATTTGGCCAGTCCACCAGGAAGATGCTGATTCAGTTTTCAGAAATGTTAGTCTTACGAACAAGTGAATTACCATTAATCTCTAGGCAGTAAGAAGTGAAGAAGTAGCACTCTGAAGTATTTTATAATGGATTATCATAATAGAAGTATGAAGGAATATATTTAAGATACAACATACAAAAAGCAGTACAGAATTTTAGCATTTTTAAAAGCATTTGTGTTCTTTCTTTATTCTCTCATTATTCTAAGACTGGGACTTGTCTCTATCAAGGCTTTAGATGCCCAGTCAAAAAATCTTGATCTAGTTTAGCAATAAAGAACAGACACCTTCTGGTTTGGGTAGCAATGTAACAAGAAGTCAAACATACAATGGAAAAAAAATAACCATGGTGCTAAACACTTTGACTCCAAGATTATTTGTATTTATGTAACCTTTTCTAGAAAACTTTATATCATACAGATCATTAATTTGGAAGTATGTTGTAAATTGTTCTTTCCGTGTAGAAATGCAACACATGAAGCATTGTATATGAATGAAAATGTAATTTTTTTTTCCTTGTCATTTGTGAATGCCAAGGACTGCAAGAGAGGAAGTAAGCCAGGGATCCATGGACAGCTGATGTCATCTCATGAATTTTCTTTTTTTTTTTTTTTTTAGGAAAATCCGGAGAGACTACCCTTCCAAAATACTTATTCAGCTGTGTGCTGCATTACTTCTACTCAACTTAGTTTTTCTCCTTGACTCATGGATTGCTCTGTATGATACACGAGGCCTATGCATTGCAGTTGCAGTATTTCTTCACTATTTCCTCTTGGTTTCCTTTACCTGGATGGGCCTGGAAGCTTTCCACATGTATCTGGCCCTTGTGAAAGTCTTTAACACCTATGTACGGAAATACATTCTTAAATTTTGTGTTGTTGGTTGGGGTATGTATTTTTTTTTCCCTTTTTATGCTAAATAGATAATTCCTCTTATCAAGTATTTCAGTGAATGTGATACAGGTTAGAAATTAAAATTAGGCAATCATTAAATGTTATGATATATGTTCCACCTTTCTGAGGCATGGAGTCCCCCCAGCTGCAGAACTGAAGTTTCTGCAATGCAGAGTGATAATGAATTTTCCTTGTGCTAGTACAATAGAACCAATTTTGAATGTGGATGTTTCCATTATTCTGAAAATAAATGCCAATAAGTATATATTCCATTTCTGGAATAGCACTGTTGCTAACAAAAAGCAGCAAAACCTGATCTGACTGGATAGAGGATGAAGACATTCTGGGCCGGAGTTTTATCTCCTGTTTGTTCCTTAAAAATATGTAAGAAAGAAAATTGGTTATCCTGTAAGAGATAGTCTGAATCAATTTGAAGAATGATGGTATTTGTTGGTTTATTCAGAAAGTTTAGGAACTGGCTGTGAAGGACTCCTCTTGTTTATTTGCCAGTTGTGCTCCTGAGCAGTTTGAATGCTGCAATTTTTCAGACAGCTACTAGTCAGCAGAATTCAACAGCCAGATTTCAGAAACAATATGTAGATTTTGCAGCAAAATATAATAATTTCAAGCTCTCATAATACTGTCTCTGTTAGGATTCTTATGTATGTGTTTTCTCATAATCTCTTAGGGTTACCAGCAGTAGTTGTGTCCATCGTGTTGGCAGTATCACCAGATAATTATGGACTTATAACCACTGGAAAGGTTTCCATAAATGGACCTGATGAATTGTGAGTTAAAGGGAGGTGCTTTGGGGGACGTGAGGGTGGGGGGGTGGAGGGAGGACCTACAAATTGCTTTTCCTTAGAGTAAAGAGGGGGAAGGCAACAAAGCCATAGTAGTGCTTTGAAATGTATAACTCTACAGTACTTCATGTGTTTTAGGGTTGTTGCCTTTATGAAGGTTCATATCCTGTGGTCAAAAAAGATACTTTTTTTGTAAAAGGCAAAAATGGTTTGCATGCAAGTCTCACATTTATTTCACTTAGTTTCTATTTCTGATAATGGTTGACAGACTGTTCTTCTGTTCTAGCTGCTGGATCAAAAATAGAATTGTCTTCTATATTACTGCTGTGGGATACTTCTGCCTGATATTCCTGATCAATATCAGCATGTTCATTGTTGTGCTGATCCAGCTGTGTCGTATCAAAAAGAGGAAACAACTCGGTGCTCAAAGGAAAACCAGTATCCAAGATCTTAGGAGCGTTGCTGGCCTCACATTCTTGTTGGGAATTACTTGGGGGTTTGCTTTCTTCACAGTGAATGAAGTATTTACTTACCTCTTTACCATTTTCAACACTTTGCAAGGTAAGTTTGTCCTCTGTGTAAGGGCTCCCTGTCTATAATATAACCAACCAAACATTTTGAAACATCATTTTCTTGATTCAGCAATAAAAATTTAAATTTGATATGTGCATTAGCATGTTAATTATTTTAGACATGAGATGATACTGCTTTATAGTAACTTTAAATTGCAGTTTTGTTATGATAAGGTACCAAAAAACTAGATACTATTTATACAGGTATGGTATATTTATAAATATTTTTATTTTAAAAGTGTATACAAACCAGATATCCCTGGAAATTACTGTGTTTCCACTAATAAACAGATGTGTTTTGAATACCTGGTTACTTTAAGTGTTCACATTATAATGCAATTAGTGTAGTGAAAACAGTATAATTTCTTCAGTTCCCCTAAGGCTTCTGGGGGAGGTTTGACATTCAGCAAAGGGTCATTGAGACAGGCAAGGCTGAAACATCTAAAAGTTATTGACCCAACTGTTAAGTATGGCCTATAAAGTACTTAAGAATATATGAGAAGTAGATATGAAAACATAAAGTTTTGCAAAGGCCAGGGTGCTACTAGACGTATCCAAAAGCAGAGCTGCTGCATAGACTTTTATATAAACAGGAGGTATTGTAGCTGTCCCCAGTGTCCTAAATATACCTGAATTGCCCTTCTGAAGTTTGGATCCAAACTTCTGCTTAAATGGCACTTGGATGACTGACTGGATGGCTTCCCAGAGAGACTAAGGCAGTGAAAGTTTCTGTTCCAATGTATACACCTTTCCCCTATTTGCTGTGTTGACTTATTATTATTTACTATTCATTCTAAACCTAATACAACTGTTTCCCATTTCAGATTGGAAACTGTGCAAAGATTCAGTGCCCCCTTCCCTTAAATGGGGGCAATTGTCATGAACTTCTAGCAGGGAAAGTTGGATGCCACCCTGTGTCAGTTAGTAGTTAGTAGTGAATGAGGAATAGACAAAGAGACTTTAATGAGGCACTGGTAGGAGATGGGATGAGCACCATCCCTTCTAACGAACATTTGAAATTGTGGTAAAGGGGGTACCATTTATTATTATTTTAGATATGAGTTATTTTCTTTGGATGAGTGCTCCAAATTTTGTAGCATTGCTGGTAACAAGTTAGCTGCTAATAAAAGATGTAACAGGATGTGCTAAAAAGGCTTAATAGTCTGATAGTGTGGTATACACCCTCTCTTTGACATTGCTTTGAATTCTTTTCCAAAAGCATTAAGTAAATTTCAAGATCAGCAGAATTTTTCCCTTTTGATTTGATAAAAGGAAACTTTATGTACCTCGTGTATTTGGTTGTATTTGTTGGTTTTTGTTTTGTGTGTATGATTCCTCTAATCTATGTAAGGAAAAAGTGCTCTGCAGCATTCAGAGTTTTTCAGCAAAGAAAGGTGTCATTACTTTTTAGTAGAAATTTAAAAGAAATGAAAGAAAATCAAAACACTGTTCATTACGAAGTAGTAAAAGTGAATTTTGCAACAATATTTAATGTTATTGCTTTGCAGGGTTCTTCATTTTCATCTTCTATTGTGTAACAAAGGAGAATGTCCGTAAACAGTGGAGAAGATATCTTTGTTGTGGGAAATTCAGGCTGGCTGAAAACTCTGGTAAATATTAAATTTTTTTTAACTTCTGGATTCTTATATTTAGTGTTAAGTTCCTGGCATTTGTAATAATTACCAAAACCAGAAAAACAAAAAAAAATTCCAAAAAACCCAGTTGATCATGTTGCTGCAGTTGCAGTTATAATTTATTATCCAAGATACAGTAAACCTCCAAAATTGTACTCTTTAAAGGTGGTAGCCGATGCAGCGCTTGCATGTCTACATGCTGTTGCCTTAAGCTGCTAACTGCTAAGAGATGACCTCTTCCACTGCAGGGTAAAGGCATGTCTTTGCAGAAGACTTTTGGTCAGTTAGAAACGGTAAGATTTATTCCAGCTTGTGGGTCAGCCATAGTTTTACCAGTTATTTCCACAAAAAGAAAGTGAAGCATGGTTCATACCAAAAAAGACATTAATTACTTTATGTTATTTTGTTACTAAGTAGTTTTCCTCTTGTAAGGGCATGTATTTTTATACACTTTCACTTAGAGACTCAACTGCACTTCAGTTATTTTTTGGATCTAGTCTGCAGTTGTAAAACTATGACAGTTGCCTGCTTGCATTTTAAAAAGGGACAAGGGAAAAGGAGCTAAATTTAAATAATTTTAAACATCAAGACTCATTAAATTCTTACAATATAATTCTGTCTAGAATACCGCAAGTGTGTAAAGCCTTGGTTTTATATCAATTCATTTGCACTATTAACTATATTTTTATGTAGTGCTTGTGTGAGTTGTATTATTTCCTGTTTTAGACTGGAGTAGAACTGCTACAAATGGTTTAAAGAAGCAGACTGTAAATCAAGGAGTATCCAGTTCTTCCAACTCCCTGCAATCAAACAGTAACTCCACTAACTCTACAACACTGCTAATGAATAATGATTATTCAGTCCATGCAAATGGAAATGGTAAGTATAATGCAAAATAGTATTTCTTCAGAAGTAAAATTCTCCATCCTTCCTGTTCTAACACAGTATTGTACTCGGCACTGCTGCCCTCTGCTCCTCCTGAGCAGCTGAAGTAGCACTGTGCTCAATTTCACTTGCAATTTGCTGTGGCTTATTTGTCTGTTGAGAAAGCTAGATATGAATCACTATTGAAAGTACTTATTAAAAACTGACCCTTTTTGAGTGAATATAATCTAGTTCTTCACACTCTTGTAGGGCACATGTCATGGTGCTGATTAGTAATTAGTATTACTAATTAATAAAAAATTATTAAATTGATTTACTAATCAATTTTTCAAACAGAAAAATAACTTACAAATCTGTAATGTATAAAATCCTAAGTCAAGCAAAACTCAGAAGACGTTACTCCTGTGTGCCTGAGGTATTTTTCCCAACTGATCAAGGGTTGAGGCTAAGAAGTCATGTCATCAACTAGAATGTTTATTATGAATTTGTTGAACATGCTTGGAAAGGCTGTGTTGTCCTCATTTCTTGGCCTATGCTGTCAGCAGACAACACATAATGAACAAGATTATATCAGCAGATAACCTCTCAGATGTACAGAGTAAAAGCTATGGAATTCATATGTGGCTTAGAGATTACTGTTCCTTTGAGTGTACTAACTGCATATTGCAGAGCAATCACAACACTTCAGGAGATTGCATTTGGAGATGCCCTGTACAGCTTTCTAAATTGAGGTTGTTGGTTTTTTTTTTCCTTCACATTCCTTTGTAAAATCTCCCTGTTTGGATACCACATAATGCAATGATTAACATACTTTTTATCTAACAGATCAGTTGAGAACCAGAATCCAGTGACACTCACTATTAGACACAAAGTAAGGCAATATTTTTAGGTAGAAGTATTTCCTTTCAAAGAGAGAAATTTTCAGGTGCAAAAGCCTGCATGTCTGTAGGGTTCTTTTGTCCCTGATATGTTAATTGCTCTGATGAAAGAAGCCATCTCTCCCTGCAACATCTGACCTGCTTATACCAAGCTACAAAAGCATTTTGGCTGCTTTTCTCAACAGAAAGAAAGAGCAGAAATGTTCTATTGAACTTGTTTGTTGTAGCAACTGAATGAATGAGCCTGTTGCAGGTCTCTGGAAAAAGTTTTGTTCTTTTGGGTATTTTGGAATGAGAAACGAAATTGATGATCTAAACCATTGAGTGATGCCAATTCTGTTGGCTGTGCTCCAATTCTGTCCTACTATATTCACATAATCAGACCTTTCCAGTGTGTCTGTGTGTCCTGTGCTAAAAGCTTCTTAGACACAAGCAGCTGAAAGAACTTTGATAAAACCTTGTTCCTGTACACTTACAAACATGGATGTCTCTGGTGACCCACCTAATTTCCTATTTTATTGTCTATTTCAAGTGCTGTGACCTCGTACCACATTCTCCATTCATATCAAGAGGGTTGTAGGATAACTTGCCTGCATAGCTTGACTAAATCATTCTTCTGGGTCCTTAGGACTTCTGTAAGAAGAGGCTAAACCTGTGCTTGGATAGCTTCCAACAAAGCTCTTGGAGGCAATTCTTACACCTAGTCTTCCAAACATGGGGCAATTGTATCTCAGAAAAGCTGGGCTAATGCCTCCAAAAGTTATTAGACTGCTGTTAGGAACTTGGGACCTTCTAATTTGCTGCACCTGATTGCTCTCTCAAAGCTGGAGCTTGAAAATAACATTGCAACACTTCATTTTAAAAAGTGACCTCCAAAACCAAAGACACTCAAGAAATTAAGACCTATGTCATAAATACACTGAGCTGTAAACACTTGATGGTTTTAGCCTCACTGCTTCTACTGAAATGCTATTCCAGATTCAGGACTGAATGACTTACTGTGGTAAGTTTGGGATGTCTGTATAGCCTGTGACTTTGCTTTCCTACTGGACTTCATCTTTTCATGGCATTCTAATATTTCTTTATTTTCAGTTTTTCTCTTTCAAATTTGCATGTTTCAGAAACTACAATTAGGTATCACATGACTGAACCTGCAGATTTCCTCACTGAGGAACCTTTTTGAATTTGTTCAGAGAAAAGCCTTATTTTCTTCTCAGCTTTTGCCCTAACATTAGGGCACTGCTATTCTGAACACTCCTAAGATAAAACAGTGTTAGGCAGGCAGGGGGTTAAACAACAATATCAGTGTTGGAAAGTATGGTTATTTTCTCTCATCAACCTTTTTCTTATTTGAATTAATGAACAAAGCTCTTCTGCTCACGTTTAAGTGCTTGATGGCTGCTTAAATTAATAAGTGACTTTTTAAAAAGTCTAAACTGAAGTGTTTGCACAAGTACTTAGAATAAAAAAAACCCAAATTCTCATTAATAATATTTAGAACATGATGCATAGGGCAGGAGATTTAACCAGTGAACTAAAAATTTCTGGAGCATTTCATAAAAAGGCTTCAGTCAGCAATGGTATTAGATGTGTTCATTGTGGATTCACCTAAATGTGTAAGATTCTCTGTAGTCTAAGTATGGTTTTAACCCATGATCAAACCTAGGCCTTGTTCTGATTGTCCTTCAGACGTAAATGCTGTCAGTTGAATTCCTTGTACTCACTCTTCTTTCAGATGCATGGCATACTTGAGACACCTTTAAAACTTAATTCAATAAAGCAAATCATTAAAATGAGGAGTATTTTGTATCTTATCTGGTAATACTTATTCCAAGTCAAGTCTATATTTTGAGAATTGTGACCTTCATTGCTTAAAATATGGAATCCTTGTGCATAAATATATTAACATCGCTCAAATATCAGGATTTCACACAGGAAAAGACATTTATACAAAACATTTACCAAAAATACACATTTTAAAATTGTTGCAGGTATAAAATGAGAGTGTATGAACTCCCTATAGTGACTAAAAAAGTATGGGAGGCTTGATTCTGAACCTTTCTGATAGGGAATGCACTTTTTTGTTTCAACAGGCCATCTTTCCAGTGAGAAGAATGGTGTTTGTTTCAGTGTACAGAATGGTGATGTGTGTCTCCATGACTTTTCAGGCAAACAACTTGTGTTCCAAGACAAGGATGATACTGGCAGCCAAAAAAGCCAAATCTCACTCAGAAGGACTTCAAAGAGAGGAAGCCTAAGTTCTATGGAGAAAATGTGATTTCCTTTTAAACAGCACATTGTTTTACAGTGTGAAGTAGAGTTTTACTTTAGCAGTTTTACATAATGTGAGCAGACCAAGAACTGGTTTTATTTAATATATGGTACTGGAACTTCAAGGCAGCCATGCAATGGATTGACAAGGACAATTACTAAAAAAATAAAAAAAAGAAAAAAAAAGAAAAGGAACCTACTATTTTGACAAGGTCTTGGATGTCAGATTACAGCTGGCACACTTCCGTTTTGTTTTTTCATCAGAATGGGGTTTTTTGAGGGGTTTTTTAACATTTAAACAAAAGTTTTATTTAGACTTTTTTCATTGCAATTAAGTTTATCTGGGTATAATGCTTAGTAGTACTGTATAAATGTAGAAAGTTACAACTTGTGCATATAAACAATGTTAACTTTAAAAATGTTAGCTACACTGTCTTCAACCTTTTGTATCTTTTTGTAGGAAACTCTTCGGTAATGTACATAAGCAGAAAATATCAACCTTTAAGCATCTCAATGGTACTTTTATATTTATTTCTTGTAATATAAATTTAAATATACCTATGTATAGAAAAATAATTGGTATTTTGTTTGTAACTTTTATTGTGAGTTTGCATTTTTCTTTTTAGTTAATGATCTTTAACACAGAATGCTACAAAACTTGTCCAGTAAGTGGATCACTTACAGTGGTTTGAATATACTCACTAGATGCAGAACTGTAAATAACAAACACAATCGGCTTTGAAGGCCGATTGAAGCCTTTAGCTACCTTCTAGTACACCATAGAGGGATAGAAATTGGGTGTAATTCAAGTAGAATGCCATGAATGGAGTATTAAATAAAGTAGTCAGTAAGTTATTAAATACAACTAAGTTGTGTTGGTGGCTTGAGTGAAGTCATCAGTTTTTGCCATTGATTTCACCAGGGTCAGTATTTATATTGAGTGGTGAGACACTGCCATTTTTCATTTGCAATGATGGAAGAAGAGAAGTTTGGAGGGGTGGGGAGGCAAGTTGAAGAAAAAATAGAAATAATAAATGACAGCTGCTATATTTAGTAGCTGAGAATTTTTTTGTTTCATTGCATGGCTGTTTTTTAAGGGGCAGCTCTTGAGCTATTCTAATGAGTATTTCTGCTTGTGCTTTGGCTTGTGGTTGGCAAACCAAATACTGAGGCGCTAGCTCAGTAATTCCTGAAGCAAAATTTCATTCCTCTTGTGACATTTACTGGAAAAAAATTGATTTGGGCTCTTTGTGTAAAACAGCTGAAAGTCCATGCAACATTGAGAAGATTCCTCCTGAACAGAAATTGGCCTAAGCCCTGGTCTTGCCTCTTCTTCCTCATACACACGTGCAGCTATGGCCACTGCTTTTTCAATTTGCATTCTTGGGCAAAAGTTGTATGCTCCCAAAGCAAGCTAGGACAAACTGGTGCCAGACTGCAGAGTACCAGGCCCTGTAAAGAGGGCTGCATGAAGCAGGTGCATGCTGATGGGGAGCAAGGGCTTTGCTTTCCTGGTGGGGAGGGCTCAGTTGGGTGCCCTGCAAACACTCTCCTCAACAAAAAGCATGAATTACAGGCCTCTTATCCAGGGCTCTGTTTGAGTTAGCAATTGAACCTCTTCAGTGCTCAAACCCCATTGTTCTATGGGCATCACAGGTTCTTTCAGTTACTTACATCCAAAATTACTCTGACTATGCTTTTTAAGGTGAGAATGTAGAGTATTTGTTGTGTTTATCCACAGGGTTTTAGCTGCATGTTGGTAAAAGCCCATCCTGGAATGCTAGTAGCTGGAATACATTTCTGTGAATGCTTTAACTATTTAGCTAATTGCCTTTGCAGTGTTTCTTGTAAATTTATTTAATGTCCTTATATTTATATTTTCAACTGTAAAAAAAGTAATAAATTTGCAGCAACTACAACACAAAATATATGAACTTTGTCTTTTAGATACATGTGTCACTAATACTGGGCTGCGTTACAATTCTTCAGATTACAGGATCAATGGTATGCCACCTCTTGGAGAAAAAGCTGACCCAGCTTTTGCGTTTATTCTCTGCTACATATTTTATCTTGCATGGTTCTAACAGATCTGGATTTTAGCAGAGAAAACCCTGACGTTAGTCCAGTCAATGCCTGCCCTCAAGACTGCTGAAGCTCTCCCAAAGGAATGCTGTAAGCAAAAGCACATAGCTGAGTTTAGCTTCAGTAATTAAATTCCCTATGAATACACATATTCCAGTGACCTGCTTGGAGTCTTCTTTTTTTTTTTTTATTTTTACACACTAAAATGTGTTAGGATTCTTGACATAATTTTTATTTTATATATTCCTAGGGGAGAGGAGTCCTTTCTGACTTTGCCACTTAACAGTGCGCTCATATTGTAGTAAAAATTTGCACTTGCACCAGCATAATATTTTAGCGTAATATTTTATCTCATCATCAAACTAGCTGAAAACGTGTTTTTACACTGGGTGTTACAGTATCCTTTTGGTACGTGGTCTCCCGGACTTTGTTTAGGCAGGACACCCAGAGCTCGGGGAAAGCTGCAACACCCGCCCAGAGCACCAAGTAAAATTCTGTGCATTAGTTTGTGGCTGCAAAGGTAACTCGGGGGATCTGTAAGGAGTTTTTAAGCTTAGTCAAAAGATAAAGAGCAACCTGCCGTGTACAGCTGGCACCACCCTGCTCAGCAAACTTGGTGCACAAGTGCAGTCTGTAAAAAGCGGTGCGCTGAAGGGGGAGGCCGGTGCGGAGCTCAGGGGAGCAGTGAGCTGGTCCATGTTTTGGCTCGGCGCAGGTTTCACCGCACGGCTCTGGCAGAGGGAGATGCTGAACCTCCGAGCTCTGTCCTCTTGTGCTGTGCGGAGCCTGCAGAGGTGGGGTCCGACCGCCGCCGAGGGAACGAACGCGGCTCTGAACGCTGCTACCTCGACCGCGACTGTCAGCTATGGGCAATGAAGGACGAACAGTAATGAAAAGTTACAATAGGAACTCTGCTAATACTACATAATTTAAAAAAATAAAAATAAAAAGTAAAAAAAGACAACGGGAAAAAAATTCTTTCCGAATTTTGAGTTAATATCACACCTTCGGCTACTCTGCAACATCGATCAGATCTCAAAACGGTGGGGTTTTTTTAAGGCTGGGGGAAAGAAAAGCTTCCAACAAGTATTCTGGTATTCTCAGCTTTATTTTATGAACTTACGAAGAGGTTCTGTAAAATCGAAACTATTTTTTACAAGCGCAGCCGGGCTTTTGTCACGCCAGCAGCCCTCCCTCTGCTCGGTCCCTGTGCAGGAGTGTCCCCGTGTCCCCGCGGTGCCTGAGGGCGGAGGCCGCTGCCGCCCCGCCCCGCTCCGCCGTGAGGGCGGGGAGAGGCCGCCGCCATCTCCGGGTACCGCCGCCCCGAGCGCGGCCGGACCGGGCAGCCGGGCCCGCTGCGGGGCCATGAGGAGCCGCAGCAACTCGGGGGTGCGTCTGGACGGCTACGCCCGCCTGGTCCAGCGGACCATCCTCTGCCACCAGGTGAGGAGCAGCCGCCGCCCCGAGACGCCTGCTCGGTGCCGGGGGCGCCGGGGGGCCGTGCCGGGGCCGTGCGGCGGCTGCCGGGGCCGGGGGCTGCAGGAGGGACACAAACATCCCTCCTCCGGCCTCCTGTCCGCGTGTCCCGCCCCCGCCTGCGGAACAGCGCGGGGAATGCTGAGGTGGTGCGGATCCTGGGTGTGCTTGTGTAAGTGCACCTTGGAAATCGTGTGGAAAACACAGCGAGTCAGAGCTTGTAAATTATAATAGTATTGCGTATATAATGTCTTCGTGGCCATATGATACACACCCAGCCGTTGTGCACACTGTATCTATCTAGATAGATAGATACACACTTCTATCTATGTATATGTGTGTGTATGTGTATATATATATATATATGTGTGTGTGTGTGTGTGTGTGTGTATATATACATATATGTATACGCACACATGGTAACAGCAGCATTCCACCGCGGTGACATAAGCGCTCCGGGCAGGACTTTGCGCCGTGCCTGTCGGTGTCAGCACAGCGCGGTGCGGGTCCCTGTGTGCCCCCGCTGCCCGTGTGTGCGGCGGGGCACGTCCCAGAGCTCCCAGTCTATTCTTCCCGTCTATTCTCCTGCTGTCCGCACTGCTGAGGCTCTGGAGCATCAGGCGGGGCTGCCTGCGCAGGCGAGCAGCCAAAGAACGAAAGTAGCAGGGGTGGTTCCGGGGAGTTGTTGTGCGCCCTGTGTTTTTTGGTCAGCACGGTGCTCTCTGCTTAATGTGCTTGCTTTAACCAGGTGGGCATTGAGGACTCAGAAGTATTCAGCAGTGCCATGCTTTAAACAAGTTACCAAACAATCCAGTATATAAAGATGAGCAGCGGGGATTTTTGCGCAAATCGGTTACCAAATATGCTTTGTTGATGAAAGTTGCAAGAAACTGGTAAGCAGTGAAGGAAAAGGCTGGGACCCATATGCACTTTGGTCAGTAAGATTTTTGTCACTGGCCAATGTTTTGAGCACAGGGTCCAAACACCTGTGAATTGGTGTTTGTGTACTAATTACTGTAGACTCAGTAGAAACAAGTGCAAGAACTGGTGTATGTGGCGTGAGAAGATAATTTTTGGCTCTTGCTGTGCTGGGGTGCAGGAGAAGCTTTTAGCTGTATTCCCATCTCTGCCTTTTGTCAGCAAGATGACCTTGGGCAAGTCACTTTAGCTTCCAGTGCCTGCCTTGATTTCCTTGTTTATCAGATGAAGATGCTGATAACAACTTCCATTAGGGGAGACATGGAGCCTCTGAGATTCAGAGCTCAAACATGCCCCATGAAAGCCTTGATGATATTAATATTTAATAATATTAAAAAGGGCAAGTAAATGGTAATACAGGGGTTCGTACTGCTGACCAAGAATTTTGTAATTGCTATTTAAAGCAATAGGATGAATGTTCATGACTGTGCCTTTTCCACTAAGGGCTCAGTGTCTGGGAGAATTCAGAGGTGGGGACAGGAGGTAAGCTTTCTTCTTTGTGTGGGAAGCAATTCACAGGCTAGCAGCAAGGCAGAGGATCAGTGATAGCTCAAGAGGACCCAGAGAAATGCTCAAGGCATGTTTCTAGATTTTTAAAACATATTCATTTATAGTCTTCCTGGTTTTTTCACTGCAATAGTTTGAAAATGTTGTGTTCAGCCAGGTGAAGAGATGCAGTGCTTGGGCAAGTTAGGAAGGTTGTCTTTGGGCCACATACAACTGTGTCTTTCTTGGGAACAGGAAGTCTGTGGCTGGATAGCCTTGTATGCTGCTGCTTCACTGCTGCTGGTGCCTTCTTTGTGCCTCCCAGGAAGGAGCCAGGGAAGTGAGTTTTAGCTGTGGGTTTGCCCAGGAGCAGCCTGGCAGAAGAACCAGAAGGTGTTTAAAATGCTTCTGAGGGGCTGCTGCTCAGCAGGGGCTGATGTGTGAGTTTGCCCCTGCACCTCCCATCCGCAGCTGCAGGAATGCAGCCTTGGCACATCAGCTGCTGTGCTCTGCCAGAGGGCAGTGACACGCTCACCTCTGTGAGGTGCAGCAAGGGCAGCACGGGGTGTGCACAAACATTGGGCTTTGGTCAGCTGTTTAACACACCAGGAGCTAGATTTTTCAGTAGCAGCAATTGATCTTGTGCTCATTCCAATCACTCTAGATCAATGTGATTTTAGAGGCAGTTTTTAATGCAGGATATCTGTGCTACCAGGCAGATGTGTTCAAAGAACAGGTTAAACTGGACCTGTTCAGGGCTGACAGTTTTCTCTGTGGCATCTTGCAGGATCAGGTCAGTAGGTTTCTTTTCCTGTTTTGCAGATGTTGCATTGTCCTTGTTAG